ATCTTAAGTTGTATTTGTTTGTATGGAAGCCGCCCAGAGCCGGCTGGCAGTGTGACTGGCCCAAGGTCACCCTTCTATGGTACGAACGGGGATTTGAACCTGGGATCCTAGTCCGACACTCTGAGCCCTCCACCACGTTGGCTCCCATTTGCACGAGCCACTTTCTGCTGGAGTATTTGTCTCCAGCATTCCAGGCTCCAAGAGTATCCAAACCGCACCTTTTGGGTGTTCAGACTGGTTGGGCAGCTGTGAAGCTTTGAGGTGGAATGAGTGAGGTAACACCCCTCCCCTCAAAAAAGCCCCACACTGCTTTCCACTAACCCCTCCTGGTCAAGAGCAGCAGCAATGTGGGAGATTTGTCTTCTGCCGACATCCAGACTCCTGGGAAGGGGGGTAGTTCTAGCACCTCTCATGATGCAGAGCCCTCCCCGAGACAGCTGCCAGAGCTAGCAGAGAAGCACCAAAGCTGCTGAGTTACGCAGAATGCTCTGCCAGGCCGAATGGAACAGCAGAAGCGTCTTGTGGGCCGTGCAAAAGGGGGGGAAACGGTTGAGAAACCCAAACATTTGTCACTTCGGAGAGGAAGAGGAGGAGGCCTGGTCATGGATCGTTCAGCATTTAAGGGAGTTCACACTGGTGGCAGGGAGGCGTGTGCATGCTGCAGCGGGACTTCAGAACGCGCCTGCTCCTGCACACAGCATCCACCAGCCTTCACCCCTCCTACCTTGTTAGTCCACTTACTTCCCCAAGCAGTGTCACCTCTAAGCTGAGTCAGTGTGAGCTAGCTCACAGTTTTTTAGCCTCCAGCTCACACGTTTTTGCCTTCGCTCTGGAAGGAGGGCTCCAGCGCAAACTGATTTATGCAGGGGCCAAACCGCTCGCTCACAACTTCAATGCCAGGAGCTCACAAAGTAGAATGTTTGCTCACAAGACCCCACAGTTTAGAGGGAGCATTGTTCCCAAGCCGTCCTTATGGCCGGTGTGAGGCTTCCGCTTTGGCTGACTCCTCTTGCTAGTTCACGCTGGCACTGACCCTTCACTCACTCACTACTTCTACTCCAGTTGGGTGTGGTGGTGAAGTGCGCGGGTTTGATTCCCCACTCCTCCTCCACTTGCACCTGGCTGGATGACCTTGGGCAAGCCATAGTTCTGATCAGAGCTGTCCTTGAAAAAGAGCAGTTTCTGTCAAGAGCTCTCTCAGCCCCACCTGCCTCACAGGGTGTCTGTTGTGGGAAGGGGGAGGGAAAGGAGTTTGGAAGCCGCTCTGAGATACCTTTGGGTTGTGAAGGGCAGGGTATAAATCCAAACTTCTCTTCTTCTTTCAACATCCTGTCCGTTCCCCTCCTTATTCTCCACTAGCGGCCCTGTGCGGTGCATCGGTTAGAGCAGGGGTCCCCCTCCCCCACCTCTCTCTGAGCCTGTGGGCACCTCTGGAATTCTGACAGCCTCACAACAGCTGCCGCAGCTTGCGCACATAGCTATGGTGGCCGCTGCTGCCAAAGCACACAACAGCTGCCGCAGCTTGCGCACACAGCTATGGTGGCCGCTGCTGCCAAAGCGACATTTTTAAAAACCTGCACAGCCAATCAAATCTCCAATGGTCAATCAGAAGTCTTCCTGGGCAAAAGCCCCACCTGGCCATGTCAAAAGGGGCAAGATATATTCCCACTGGCTAGTCCTAGACAACAACTGAGCAGCCGCATTCCGGACCAGCTAGAGTTTCTGGGATACCTTTAAGTGCAGCCCAATGCAGAGCGAATTACAGTAGTCCAACTGCACAGTTACAAGAGCACAGATAAGAGTGGACTGATAGGCTGAGTCTAAGGAACAAGAGAGTTGGTGAACCAGACACGTAGGTGAAAGAAGGCAGTCCTGGCCACTGCCCCCATCCTGCTTATCAAACAGGAAGGCTGTGCCGATGACCACCAAGCTTTTAACCTGCTCTGCGAAAACCAACTCCACTCCAGCCAAAAACAAGCTGATCCAATCCCTTCACAATATCAGCCTTCCTCACCAATGTTGCCTCTTGTCTGGGTTCGGCTTCAGCTTTTTAAAACTAAAGACACCTGGCCACAAGACTGGCATATCTGGAGGGACAAGGTAACAAAATATAGAGATGGGTGTCATCTGTATAACACCAAACCCCGAAAGCGCCAGATGATCTCATTCAGCAGACTCGTGTGTGTGTGTGTGTGTGAGAACATGGGTTTGGGGTACACAACTCTGTGGTTCTCCACAGGACATATCCCAATCAGACAGCAATGCGGATTCTGTGAACTGAGGAAGATGATGAGAGGGAGGGTAGGAAGGGTTGCAGCAGTGCTTAGTTCTCGTGGCCCTTTCTTACACACCCAGGAAAATGCCGATCGCCACTTTGGGGGTCATGAAGCAATCCTGGAGGTTTTTTGTCATCTTCTGGGCATGGAACAGGGGTCACTGCGGGTATGTGTGGGGGAGGTATTTGTGAATCTCCTGCACTGTGCAGGGGGTTGGACTAGGTGACCCTGGAGGTCCCATCCCAACTCTATGAGTCTATGATTCTAAGTCCATTGCATCCCTGACGACATCACAGGGCGTGTCACGGTATCCCCAGCACTCAAGAGTTTTGTTTCCTGTTTGGATTATTATTTTTTTTTAAAAAAACCTTTTTATAATTAATCCTCAGAAAGTCCGGTTTGCCCAAACTGGAATTCACGGCAGCTGAAGGGAGTTTGCCCATCACCAGTCATCATGGATGGTGGAAAGGGCAAAATATAAGTATTTCAATGAAATAAATAAACCTAGTAGTTGCTTCTGCCAGCCAAAGTAGAGAGCAGCAGGTGGTCACAGACCTCCCCCTTCAGAGGAGGTGAAGGGCCCGGCCTCTGGGATATGCCTAGAGTTGTAAAGGCCTGGGGAAAAAACCGGAAAAATTCGGGGGGGAAAACCTGGGGGTTTTCCGTTTTTTCCCTGAAGCCTTTTTTTCCCCCCCTGAAAAATTGGAAAAATTGAAAAGAAAAGAAAAGAAATTGATTATGGAACATTTTATTTTAACATGATGAATAAGACAAGGTGTTCAAATATTTTCCAAATCATTTCTAAAAAATATGCATGGTATCAGATTGATCTAATTTCTGTGCACTGAGGACAAGCAAGTCCTAGGTTACCAACTGAACTCTCCGATGCAAGAACAAGATGCATTTCTTCCTTTAGGAGGTGCTATTGTCACAAGAAAAGAAAAAGGTTTCAGGTTTTGTTTTTGCATGTGGGTGGGTATTCTGTTTGTAATAATTGTTTGGATACACTATGTTTTAAATATGCTCGTTGTGATGATTTCATGCCAAGTAAAAATGTCCATAGTCATATTTTATGTTCCTAAAGTAACAGAATGACTTTCAATCTGGAAAAGAAAAAAGAAGTGCTAATGTAGCATTTTTTTCAATTTTCCCGAAAATTTCCGTTTCCTTCCAGGAAAAACCCGGGTTTTTTCCCCCTGAGCTTCAAAATTTCTGGAAATTTTACATCTCTAGATATGCCAAGACATGAGAAGAGCAGTAAGGTGGTCCAGAGGATGGAGGGACACAGCTGGTGCCCCCCCCATTGACAGTAACCATCTGACTGCTGCCTCATAGAATCACACAGAGTTGGAAGGGGCCCTGCAGGCCATCTAGTTCAACCCCCTGCTCAAAGCCTAGGGCAGTGATGGTGAACCTTTTAGGGACCGAGTGCCCAAACTGCGACCCAAAACCTACTTATTTATCGCAAAGTGCCAACACGGCAATTAAACCTGAATCCTGAGGTTTTACTTTAGAAAAAACCACTCATACATTAACTTAAGATGATCCAAACAAAGTAAGGAAAGCAATCCCAACTGCTTTCATTGACTTAAAATTATTTGGCAGAGAATTCGACACTTTAATGATGGTCTGGGCCTGGCTGGGCTGATGGCACGCGTGCCCACAGAGAGGGCTCTGAGTGCCACCTCTAGCACCCGTGCCATAGGTTCGCCACCACTGGCCTAGAGCATCCCTGATAAGGGTTTGTCCAGCTGCTGCTTGAAGACGCCGGGGGGGGGGGGGGGAGGTCACCACCTTCCTAAGCAGCTGATTCCACTGATGCACAACTCTTCCTGTCAAAAGGTTTTTCCTGAGAGCCAGCCGGTACCTTCCCACCTTGAATTTAAACCCTCTGCTGCCAACAGGAACAGCTCCCTGCCTCCTCTAAGTGACAGCCCTTCAAAAGACTTCAAGAGAGCAATCATGCCTCTATTTGCATTGACTTGTAGTCTCAACAAAATCCAAGCCTAGACATCTTATTTATTCATTCAATTTATACCCCGCCCTTCTCACCAAAGCAGCTGCTTTCTGAAACCGTGGTCAGGGACCTATTCTGGCTTGCTTTTTGAAAGCTATCGCTTCATGACAGCAACTTGAAATCTCTCCTAAATACATTCTGGAACCCACAGAACTGCAATTGCTTAAGTGAACCTTGTGGGAAGGACTAGTTAAACCAATCCAGAATTGGCTTAAGGTTGTTTGTTGATATGCCCAGGGTGTTCAGAACCTGCACTAAAGAGGAAATGGACCATAGGGAAGCCAAGCCACAAATTCCATTCTGAGACAACTGAGGTAATATCCCATGTCCAAAATCCCCAACACAAGCATGTAAATTTGCTGTGTGTTCCAAGCAGAGAACAGAAGACGCACATGCAGGACTGGTTTAAGAAACTACTCCGTAAACGCACCAGAAGAGTAAAATACTAATGTGTGTGATCTAAAGATGGGAAGTTACCACTCACTTAAGGAGAGATTCTGAACAGAGGAGACAACCGGTTGGCTGGACGCATGAACAGTTCAGTAGAACTTGTGTCTGAAGAAAAGCCCAGTCTTTAGACTCTGATGAGCAGCTGAACTGCACAGAGCCCACAAGAGCCAATGCATGCACAGAGAGACTGCCATGCGCCCAAGAGCCCCCTTGAGAGCAGAGCATGTATTCAGAGAACTGCAGCTTCCCATTCTTACCGCCTCTTTCTCTCGGTCCATGATCGTTTCCAGCTCCTCAAAATGACGGAGTTTGATCTCTAGTTTCTTCATCTGCGTTTCCACCAAGAGGGCAACCAAGGACTTGATCTTCCTCTCCTCAACGGCTGCCAGATGCTGAAGAAGACACAGATGTTTAAGCTACAGACTGGACAACTGGACGTTTTGCAGCACAAACAGAATGCAAGGTGGCCTCGATTCCCCCCCCCTTCATTTGTACCAAGCGTTTCCTCTTCTCTTCCCCCTTCCCCTTTAGCCTGACGACAGCAACCCTTCTTGGTTTTCAGGGAAGAAGAAGAGGAGGAGAAGGAGGAGGAGTTCGGATGTATACCCCGCCCTTCACTCAGAGTCTCAGAGTGGCTTACAAACTCCTTTCCCTTCCCCTCCCCACAACAGACACCCCCTGTGAGGTAGGCGGGGCTGAGAGAGCTCTTGACAGAAACGGCTCTTTTTCAAGGACAGCTCTTATCAGAACTATGGCTTGCCCAAGGTTGTCCAGCCAGGTGCAAGTGGAGGAGTGGGGAATCAAACCCAGTTCTCCCATATTAGAGTCCGCGCACTGAACCACTACACCGAACTGGCTCTCTAGTTTTGAAAACGCGAAGTGGCCACAGCGACCTCATTTGGAATACTGTGTGCAGTTCTGGTCACCACACCTTAAAAAGGATATTATAGCTTTGGAAAAAGTGCAGAAAAGGGCAACTCGAATGATAAAAGGGTGGGAACACTTTCCCTATGAAGAAAGGTTAAAGCGCTTGGGGCTCTTTAGCTTGGAGAAAAGACGACTGAGGGGTGACATGATCGAGGTTTATAAGATTATGCATGGGAAAGAGCAGGTAAAGAAAGAGGTACTTTTCTCCCTTTCTCACAATACAAGAACTCGTGGGCACTCCATGAAACTGCAGAGCGGTCGGGTTAGAACGGATAAAAGGAAGTACTTCTTCACCCAAAGAGTGATTAACACATGGAATTCACTGCCACAGGAAGTGGTGGGAGCTACAAGCATGGACGGCTTCAAAAGGGAATTAGATAAGCATATGGAGCAGAGGTCCATCAGTGGCTATTAGCCACAAGGTATAGCTAGGGGCTCTGGGGCAAGTGATGCTCTGTCTTCTTGGTCCTTTTGGGGGTCAACAGTGGGAGGGTTTCTAATGTCCTGGCCGGGGAAGTCATGGGGAGGCACCTGGTATTTTTGGCCACTGTGTGACAGAGTGTTGAACTGGATGGGCCTTTGGCCTGATCCAACATTGGCGTCTCTTATGTTCTTATGTTCATTAGGGCGCAAGAACTCAATATCAGATTATATGCTACACTATTTCTATGAATGAGAAATGTTTGCACAAAGACACAAATGTTGGCGGCCATTCATTCATAACCATCTAAGTTTCCAGATGTGGTAAGAAGTATACAAAAGGATTATATTGTGAATAAAAAGTAAATATTCAGAAGTGAGGGGGACCCTCCTGTTCTGCTTTGCAGTACGCAGGCCTAAATGGCAGGAAATGACACCTTTTTCTGGGAGTTATGAGTTCCTGAGTCATTATGGAAGTCTAAACAAGTGCATTAGCTAGACCCCTTCTGGCTTCACTTGGGGGGGGGGATGGGGTCTTAGGTGGGCCCTCCTCTCCCCCAAGATTGCCAGAGTCAGTGTGGTGCAATGGTCAGAGCATTGGACTAGGACCAGAAGGCCCAGGTTCAAATCCCCTCTCATTCCCTGGACGCTCACTGGATGGGTCTTGGGCCAGTCATATACTCTCAGCCTAACCCTACCTCATAGGGTTGTTGTGAGGATAAATCAGAGGGGAGGAGAATGACGTAAGCCGCTTCGGGTACCCAGCGGGGAGACGGGTGGGGTATAAATGAATCAAAGAACATATCATCATGCAGGGGCAAAATTATAACAGCTGCAATGTTTCCGTCAGGATTTGATCTCCCTGTCCTGCTTCAAGGACTTCAAAAAGCTTGTGTGTAGACGGAGACATGAGCCGTTCGGAACAATCCCAAGGGCTCTTGGACCTGTGCCTCTGCAGCCCAAAGGGCCCTTTTTAGCCCTGTGCCCTTGGATCAGACAGCCATCGAATTCAGGGAAATGGGCTAAATGTAGTTTGTTATTTGCTGAGTTATTTATATAGAGTTTTGTGGTGGTGTTTTTTTTGCTGTAAGCTGCTTTGGGGGCTTCTGGGGACAAAACTGGGGTACCAATACTGAAATAAATAAAACTAATCTCTGTTCACATTTTTTTAAATTGATGCCACTATCAGTCTGCAATGGACACAAGTGTGGCAGTGCTGCTTTCTACAAGGGCCGTCTTTCTCAGGCATCGGGAGGTGCCAGGGATTCAAGCCTGCAAGGATGCGATATTTCAGGAGGAGGTAGAAGTAGGCTGGATGACCTTGGGCAAGCCGTAGTTCCGATAAGAGCTGTTCTTGAAAAAGAGCCCTTTCTCTCAAGAGCTCTCTCAGCCCCACCTACCTCACAGGGTGTCTGTTGTGGGGAGGGGAAGGGAGAGGAGTTTGGCTGTGGAGGCACCCCGGTCTGATTGGGAAGCATCCCCCGCACCAGGGCTTTTTTGTAGAAAAAGCCCAGCAGGAACTCATTAGCATAACAGGCCACACCCAACAGCAGAAACTCATTAGGACTGGCTACATTAGGGGTGTGTGGCCTAACATGCAAAGGAGTTCCTGCTACAAAAAATGCCCTGGGTTTTGACCACAAACAAGGTCAACAGAATAAGAAGCAAAAGGTGGGCGTGGCTGGATGACCACACTTCTGGTAACATGGGGGTGTGGCCTAATATGCTAATGAGTTTCTGCTGTTGGGTGTG